CATGTATGTCAAGATCATATAATTTGTATCATAACAAGACTTTGCAGCATATATATATGTAGCAAGATTAACAAGATGTCAAAACGAGCAACATTAATACGTATAGATATATCAAGACATGGAGCCACGATCTCATCTCGTGTTCCTTCTAGCAAGTATAAATAGGAGAGCCTTCTCACAATTACCTAAAACGTCACTGTACCGAATCCAAACAGCAGCGAAAATGTCCAATTCACGAATTAACAGCACCTAATTTCAAACAGAAAAATCAGCATAGTATTCAAGCTTTCCTAAACATTAAACCAAAGCTTCCCAAGCCTAAAATATCCCTACATCCCGCGGCCAAGAAGGGTCCTACCCTAAGGATTGTGTGACTTCCAAAAGGGATTTTTAACAACAAAAACAGAGGGAAATCCTAAGAGTTCTCGTCAGGCAGATTCGGAGAAAACATAACCGTACCGTTTTAAATTTAATTAATTTAAGCCAGTAGCACTTTATTCACAACCAGTAAAAGTATTTTTAAATTTTAACAAGATACATTTTCTTCAAATCATCAGGGGTTCGGTTTTTACAGCAAGGAGCAGATCAAAACAGAATAGAAATTTAGAAGGTTCAGCCCTTGTTTTACCTTCAAGACCGAGCAGAAAGGAAGAAAGAGATGGATTCAGATTTCTGCTTGTTGCTACCCCCAAATCGCTCACACTTTTGACCACTAGGCAGCCACCAACGCCTCAGCTTCTTGAGGAGGAAGGTACGGCTGAACAGAGGGAAGAAAGGTCACGGTGCAGGATGGCTTGGTGAGGTTGATGACACTGGTCTCTGTTTCTTCTTCTCAACAGATAGCGCACAACAAGAAGGGAAACTGATGTTGATTCTCTTGCATACAGCGTACAAGAGAGAAAGAGGGGAAAGTTGAGGCTGATTTAAAGGTGAACCAAGAAATCAGAACTGTGGCATCTGTTTCTCACTCTTGGAGCGCACAAGAGGAGGCTGATGGAGAAGTCTCTATAAAGTTGAATGCTCTTTGCATAGGATAACAAGCAAGGTCAGCTTTTTCTGCCCTCTAGGCGCATGCACAGGGGAAGAGGTGAGGCTGATCAGAAGCGTTGCAGAAAGAGGATCAAGTCAGAACTTTTCTTCTGAGGTTGGCCTCCCCTAGGCGTACAACAGAAAAGGAGTTGGATTAGGGTTGAGTTTAGATGAGGGAAATTGGATTGGATGGGGAAGTGAATTGGGTTGAGTTGCTGCTCCAAGACTCTTGGGCCGCAGGTCAAAACAATTGCTGTGGCCCAACATACTAACTTATGGAATCAAATGAGATTAGCCCATCAGCAATAAGCCCCAATGTTTTTAAATTAAGCTGACTAATACTCATCATTCTATGGGCCAGCGACCTTCTCACCCAAACAAGGCCCAACATGCTAATTCCTCTTATATTATAATTCAGCCCATCACTAATTAAATTCATTTAATTAATTTATTGCCTCTTACTTTATTTTTAATAACTTATGGCTGTAATTCTAAATTAGTTTTCTCATGCCTAACATAATTTATGTGACTAATTAATTTATTTCAAGAAACTTCCTAACTCAAATTAATTTTCTCCTAATAATTATATACTCGAATCAAAGCACAAAGCACATACAAGAACATAATACCCAAAATTCTCATAGCAACATAATATATTTCCTATTTCCGTGGGATGTTACACTCTCCCCACCAAAATGGAATTTTGTCGGCAAAATTCGAACTTACCTACTCATTAAATAATTCAGGATAGCTTTTCTGTATTTCATCTTCACGTTCCCATGTAGCTTCGGCTGCGGATTTGTTGTTCCACAACACCTTCACCAACGGAACCTCCTTAGAATGAAGTTGCTTAACGGATCTTTCCATAATCTGAAATGGCTGAACGTGGTATGTCAGATTTTCTCCTAATTCGACCTCCTCCGGTTGCAACACGTGCGACGGATCAGAGAGGTATCTCCTCAGTTGTGATACATGAAATACATCATGAATTCCTGACAGATTAGGTGGCAAAGCCAAACGATACGCTGACTCGCCAATCTGATCCAAGATAAGATACGGCCCCAAATATCGCGGACTTAATTTCTTGACTCCCATTCTCCTGCCGAGACCCGATGTGGGCGTGATTCGCAAAAATACATGATCTCCCACTTCGAAAGATAAAGGCTTATGGCGCTTGTCATAGTAATTCTTCTGTCTGGCCTGCGCTCGCTGCATGTTTTCTCTTATCTTCTTTACTTGCTCAGAGGTTTCCTGAATTACGTCAGGCCCCAAAATACTTCGCTCTCCTACTTCAGTCCAACACAGAGGTGATCTGCACTTTCTTCCGTACAAAGCTTCATAAGGAGCCATCTGAATACTAGAATGATAACTGTTATTATACGCGAATTCGATCAATGGAATATATTGATCCCAACTTCCTCCATGCTCTAAGACACACGCTCGTAACATATCCTCTAAAACCTGGATAGTTCGTTCATATTGCCCATCGGTTTGCGGGTGGTAAGCAGTGCTCAACCTCAATTGCGTACCGAGAGCTTGCTGAAAGGACTCCCAGAATTTAGAGGTGAACTTAGGATCACGATCACTGACTATACTGGTAGGAACTCCATGCAGCTTCACGATCTCTCGCAAGTAAATCCTTGCCAGTTTCTCCGTATTATACGTGGTTCGAACACACAAGAAATGAGCTGATTTCGTCAATCGGTCAATAATTATCCAAATAGCATCATAACCATCTTTCGAACGAGGAAGTCCTACTACAAAGTCCATAGCAATACTGTCCCATTTCCACTCGGGAATCTCCAAAGGTTGAAGTAATCCCGAAGGTCTCTGATGTTCGTACTTCACTTTTTGACACGTCAGACATCGAGACACATACTCAGCAATGTCACGCTTCATTCCCGGCCACCAGAACGAAGTCTTCAGGTCATGGTACATCTTCGTAGATCCAGGATGAACGGCATAATTTCCTTTATGAGCTTCCTGCAAAACTTCTGACTTCAATTCAGCACTTGGCACAACTAACCGACCTTGGAATCTTAACATTTCGTTCTCATCCCATAACACATCTCGCATGCCGGCCAGATCATGGACTAACTCTTCATTTCTTTGGGCCTCCTTGATCCTACGGAGTAGCTCATTTTCTATCTTAATATTGCCCAATCTTATACTACGCCTTCGCCTGACAACCGACAAGTTCATATCTCGAAAAGCTTCAAACAACTTCAGTTCTTCTATCATCAAGGTTGCGGTATGGAGAGTCTTCCGACTCAGGGCGTCAGCTACTACATTCGCTTTGCCTGGATGATACTTCAGTTCAAACTCATAATCTTTCAAAAATTCCATCCATCGGCGTTGCCTCATATTTAATTCCTTCTGATCGAACAAATACTTGAGACTCTTATGATCGCTGAACACATCGAACTGAGAACCATACAAGTGATGTCTCCAGATTTTCAGCGCGAACACTATGGCTGCTAACTCCAGATCGTGCGTAGGATAATTTTCTTCATGAGATTTCAGTTGCCGAGAGGCATAAGCCACTACCATCCGATCCTGCATCAGTACACAACCAAGTCCCTTCAAGGACGCATCACAATATACTTCGAACTTCCTTGTTGGATCAGGAATAGTAAGTATCGGAGCACTTGTCAATCTATTCTTCAGCTCCAGGAAACATTCTTCACAATCTTCAGTCCATTTAAAAGGTACATCCTTTCGAGTTAGACGAGTAAGAGGCTGCACCAGACGAGAGAAATTCTGGATAAATCTTCGGTAATAACCGGCAAGACCCAATAAACTACGTACTTCAGTCACGGTTCTGGGTTGATCCCAATTCATGACAGCTTCCACTTTGCTGGGATCAACTGCGATACCTTCAGCTGAAATCACGTGTCCCAAGAACTGAACTTCACTGAGCCAGAATTCACACTTGGACCACTTTGCATACAATTGCTTCTCTTTCAGGATTTGCAAAACCATCCTAAGATGTTCTGCATGTAGCTCTTCATTCGAAGAGTAAATCAGAATGTCATCAATGAATACGATAACAAACTGATCAAGGAAAGGACGGAAGATGCGGTTCATGTAATCCATGAATACCGCCGGAGCATTCGTCAATCCAAACGGAATCACTTGATACTCATAATGACCATAACGAGTACGGAAAGCTGTTTTCGGAATATCCTCCGGTCTGACCCGGATTTGGTGGTATCCCGATCTCAGATCTATCTTAGAAAAGACTCTGGCACCTCTTAGCTGGTCCATCAAATCATCGATCCTAGGAAGTGGATACTTATTCTTCACAGTCACTTTATTCAGCTGACGATAATCTACACACAGACGCAGACTACCATCTTTCTTCTTAATCAAGATTGCTGGAGCACCCCATGGTGAGGTACTAGGTCGAATGAACTCCTTTGCCAGCAGCTCTTCTATTTGCTTCTTTAATTCTCTGAGTTCCAAAGGTGCCATACGATACGGAGCAATGGATATAGGTCCAACTCCGGGAATAAGTTCAATGGGGAATTCAATTTCCCTATGAGGGGGTAATCGAGGAATTTCATCCGGAAACACCTCCTCGAATTCATTGACAACAGGTACATCCCGAATTGATTTGCCAACTGAAGTCTCGGACTCCATTAACAGCAAATATCCGGCAGCTCCTCGAAGGAGCTCTTTCCTAACTTGTAATAATGAAATAGTAGAGAAAGAAAGAGAATTACCATCTCTCGGAGGAACAATGACCTTCCCTGCCTGACAATCCAGCGTCATTCCATTTTCCGACAACCAGTCCATTCCGATAATCACATCGAAGTTGAATACCGGTAGGACCACCAAACTCACGGTGTACGTGTTTCCTTCAAATTGTAGAATAACACCTCGGCAGATCTCTGAGGCTGTACAATGCCCTCTAGTAGGAGTACTGATGTTCAACTCGTAGGGCAATGGAGTCGGGGTAATGCCTATTCTTAGAGCGGTGTGTTTTGCCATAAAATCATGTTACCTTTGATCAGGTTCGGATATTTTTGAGCTTCATTGGCATCTAGGGTGAATACCCGAGCTTGAGTAGAATTCCTGTTAGGATTCTGCGGGCAATCGGAAACAAAATGTTCTGACTGTCCACAAGCATAGCACAAGTTATTTGGTCGACGACAAACTCCAGTGTGATTCTTCCCGCAAGTAGGGCAAGCATAATTCTGTCTTCCAGAAGATGTCTGACCAGGAGCATTGTTCTTCTTGAAATTTCCGGCTCGAGCTTGCATCTGAGGATTCTTGCCTTTACCCATTCCGGTAATCTTCTTGAAGAATCGGCCAACTTTGCTTCCTCCCTGAGACTGGGTTGGTTGCTTATTCAGGTTCTGGGCCTCATTGATGATTGCTTCCGCCTGCCTACTCTGGTTAATTACTTCTGGCAATGACCGGTTTGCAGTGGTCAACATGAGCTTGCGGATCTCTGGATGTAACCCGCTCTCATATTTTTCCACCTGCCATGGCTCATCATAAATGTTGCGGTCGAAGTTGGCGTACTCCATTAGTTGCCCGAACTTAGAGATATATTCGGTAACCGTCATGTTGTCCTGACGCAGTGCCAACATCTCGGAGTATTTCATCCTTCTCATGGCCTGAGGAAAATACTTGTCCAGGAAAACTCGTCTGAACACGGCCCATGTCAGTTCAACGTTCTGAGCTAGCAGCAGAGCTCTTGCACTAGTCCACCAAGTAAGTGCTTCTCCAATGAGCTGATACGATGCGTAGTCGGTTTTCTGAGCCTCGGGGCATCTCATGCGCTCGAATACATGCTCAATCATCTGCAGCCACCGAGCTGCAGTCTCTGGATCATCTCCACCTTCGAAGGTAGGCGGCTGGAAATTACGGAAATCCTTCAATCTCCGCCTGGCAATTTCTTCTGCATTGTCGAATGGCGGGGGTTGATTCTGATTTTGCTGTTGATAGTTGCGCCATTCCTGGCTCATGTTCTGAACGAACGTCGCTAGTCCTCCGACAGTGGTGATAAGGTCTGCTTCTGCATTGCTTGGTCTTCCCCGAGTGGAACCGCGATTACCTGCCATGATTCTGCACTCATAATATCACGAAATGAGCTGATCAGACTCATTGCAGGTTATTTGTGACAGCAATCTCACGTAGGTAGTCGAGTTCAATTCGGGTAAGTAACTATGCTTCAGTCACTTATACCTAAATAATCTTATCGATCAAACTATTTCAGCTAACATATTCCTAACGAGTTAATTAACCAATCACACATCAAACCATGAGTTATCACAATCAATCACAATCAGCAAGCATGCAGCTACAATTCCTCCAAAAACAAATATCCATGAACCAAAACTGCTCTGATACCAATTAGTGTAACGCCCCTATTGTATGCATCCAAGAGATGGGATATTGCTAACTTGTATTAGAGTCGCAGCGGAAAAAAAATTGATTTAACGTTTGCAAAAGCTAAACACAATGAATCTTTACTGAACTACTCAAGATTAGAGAAAACCTTGTACTTAAAATTGTTTATTCATGAAAACAGCGAAAGTTTCAAAATAAGCGCTTGCTGGAATTTTTTTCTTTTTACCAGAAAAACGTACTGTTCTCTAAAATTCATATAAAATCAATCTGATGTCGGTTAAAAATGATTCTTCGCTACGGTGAAACTAGATACACGGGGCTTCGCGTCCATATAAAATATGTGCGATTCCGAGGTGAATAGCCCCTTGAACTTGAACTCGCAAGTTGCTCGCGAATTCTGCGAATTTTCTTAAAAACCTGCTGTCTTGCGTTATTTTTCAGAATTCGCACAGTTACCATAAAATTTTGATTTCTGCAAATTCTTAAAGTTACTTTCAGGGGCTTCGCGTGCATATAAGTTATGCCGCATTTGGAGATTCGTAGTCCCGGGACACCAACTTTTAAGTTGCTCGCAAAATAACAGTTTTCAGAAAACAATCCATACTTGCAAAAACATAGTCATTAATCCAAAACAGCAATTAACCAAAAGTTCAAGATCAGTAACTAGTTCAGAAATGTTCCAAACAGAAGTAAACAAATCTTAAAAATTCAAAATGATATAATAATAAAACTTGAAGTTATCCTTCTTGCAACACAGCCAACCACTCAACAAAATAGCCATGAATCCAGCAACAAAATGGCATAAACATCTCATAGCCATACCTCAAGTACTTTTGCGTCCCCCTGCCATTTTACATCAGAAAACAGCAGCCCCAAAGGGGTGAAAAATATTTCCCAGTAGTGAGAGACAATACCAAAATGCAAGAAGCATAAGCTAGAAACCGAAATAATTAACATAACAAGATTTATCACATATATATACATGTTGCCATATGCTAAACAAGATGCGTAAGAACGCCAAGAGTACGTTATAGCACTAATGTGCCGTACTATCAAGCACAGTGGATTACCCTTGATGGCTTCTCAAGAAGGGATCCGACCGTGGCCTAAGTGGACTGAAGCCAACTGTCCCAAGACCTTGGTACCGTAGGTTATGCCTAAATGGTGCATGCTCATCCATATGCATAGTTTTTAAAAAAATAATTTTTCAGCAGCGATATGAAATTGATGCGCGAATGCTATGCTTTGTGACGCATACCGCATACTAAATAAAATGTCATGATGCACATGAATGTCTAGATCATATAATTTATACCATAACTAGACTTTGCAGCATATATATGTAGCAAGATTAACAAGATTTCAAGACGATCAATATTAATACGCGTAAGTATATCAAATCCTGGAGCCACGATCACGTCTCGTGTTCCTTCTAGCAAGTATAAATAGGAGAGCCTCCTCACAATTACCTAAAACGTCACTGTACCGAATCCAAACAGAAGCGAAAATGTCCAATTCACGAATTAACAACACCTAATTTCAAACAGAAAAATCAGCATAGTATTCAAGCTTTCCTAAACATTAAACCAAAACTTCCTAAGCCTAAAAATATCCTTTACAACCTGCGGCCAAGAAGGGTCCTACCCTAAAGGTTGTGTGACTTCCAAAAGGGATTTTTTTAACAACGAAAACAGAGGGAATCCTAAGAGTTCTCATCCGGCAGATTTGGAGAAGACATAACCATACTATTTAAATTTAATCGATTTAATCCAGACGCACTTTATTCACCACCGGTATCAGTATTTTTAAATCTTAACATAAGATACATTTTCTTAAAATCATCAGGGGTTCGGTTTTTTTACAGCCGGAGCAGATCACAACAGAACAAAAGTTAAAAGGTTCAGCCTTTGATTTACCTTCGATACCAAACAGAAAGGAAGAAAGAGATGGATTCAGATTTCTGCTTGTTGCTACCCCCAAATCGCTCACACGTTTGACCACTAGGCAGCCACCAACGCCTCAGCTTCTTGAGGAGGAAGGTACGGCTGAACAGAGGTAAGAAAGGTCACGGTGCAGGATGGCTTGGTGAGGTTGATGACACTGGTCTCTGTTTCTTCTTCTCAACAGATAGCGCACAACAAGAAGGGAAACTTATGTTGATTCTCTTGCATACAGCGTACAAGAGAGAAAGAGGGGAAAAGTTGAGGCTGATTTAAAGGTGAACCAAGAAATCAGAACTGTGGCATCTGTTTCTCACTCTTGGAGCGCACAAGAGGAGGCTGATGGAGAAGTCTCTATAAAGTTGAATGCTCTTTGCATAGGATAACAAGCAAGGTCAGTTTTTTCTGCCCTCTAGGCGCATGCACAGGGGAAGAGGTGAGGCTGATCAGAAGCGTTGCAGAAAGAGGATCAAGTCAGAACTTTTCTTCTGAGGTTGGCCTCCCCTAGGCGTACAAAAGAAAAGGAGTTGGATTAGGGTTGAGTTTAGATGAGGGAAATTGGATTGGATGGGGAAGTGAATTGGGTTGAGTTGCTGCTCCAAGACTCTTGGGCCGCAGGTCAAAACAATTGTTGTGGCCCAACATACTAACTTATGGAATCAAATGAGATTAGCCCATCAGCAATAAGTCCCAATGTTTTTAAATTAAGCTGACTAATACTCATCATCCTATGGGCCAGCGACCTTCTCACCCAAACAAGGCCCAACATGCTAATTCCTCTTATATTATAATTCAGCCCATCACTAATTAAATTCATTTAATTAATTTATTGCCTCTTACTTTATTTTTAATAACTTATGGCTGTAATTCTAAATTAGCTTTCTCATGCCTAACATAATTTATGTGACTAATTAATTTATTTCAAGAAACTTCCTAACTCAAATTAATTTTCTCCTAATAATTATATACTCGAATCAAAGCACAAAGCACATACAAGAACAGAATACCCAAAATTCTCATAGCAACGTAATATATTTCCTTTTTCCGTGGGATGTTACACCTACGATAATAGCCTGCCAGTCCAAAGAAACTCCGCACTTCAGTGACGGTCCTGGATCGTTCCCAATTCATTACTACTTCAACTTTGCTGGGATCCACAGCAATACCTTCTGCTGAAATTATGTGGCCCAGAAACTGGACTTCACTTAGCCAGAACTCACACTTCGACCATTTTGCATACAGTTATTTCTCCTTAAGAATTTGCAAAACTATCCTCAAGTGTTCCGCATGCAGTTCCTCATTGACAGAGTAAATCAGGATGTCATCGATGAACACAATAACAAACTGATCCAGGAATGGCGGAAGATGCAGTTCATATAATCTATGAATATCGCCGGAGCATTTGTAATTCCGAACGGAATCACCTGGTACTCATAGTGCCCATATCGAGTCCTAAAAGCTATTTTTGGAATGTCCTCTGGTTTGACCCGGATTTGATGGTATCTCGATCGTAAATCTATTTTGGAAAAGACTCTGGCACCTCTCAGTTGGTCCATCAAATCATCAATTCTGGGGAGCAGATACTTATTCTTCACTGTCACTTTGTTCAGCTGACGGTGATCTACACACAATCGCAGACTACCATCCTTCTTTTTAATAAGAATGGCTGGAGCACCCCATGGAGAAGTACTGGGTCTGATGAATTCTTTTGACAGCAGCTCTTCTATCTGCTTCTTCAGCTCCCGAAGTTCCAAAGGTTCCATACGGTACGGAGCAATGAAAATAGGTCCAACTCCGGGAATAAGTTCAATGGGAAATTCTATTTCCCGATGAGGAGGTAATCGAGGAATTTCATCTGGGAACACCTCCTCGAATTCATTAACAACAGGAACATTCTGAATTTGGTTGTCAACCAAAGTCTCAGACTCAATCAACAACAGATAACCTTCAACTCCCCGAAGGAGCTCTTTTCTAACTTGTAATAAAGAAATAGTAGCAAAAAGCTGAAAATTACCATCTTTTGAAGGAACTATGACTTTCCCTGCTTGACAGTCCAATGTTATTCCGTTCTCCGTCAACCAGTCCATACCAATAATCACCTCAAAATTGAATACCGGTAGAACCACTAAGTTCACTGCATAAGTGTTTCCTTCAAATTGTAAAATAACCCCTCTGCAGATTTCTGATGCAGTACAAGATCCTCCAGTAGGAGTACTGATTTGTAACTCATAAGGTAACGGAGCTGAGGTGATGCCTATTCTCATAGCAGTGTGCTTTGCCATAAAAGAACCTGATGCCCCAGAATAAAAAATAACAGATATTGGATAGCCATTCAAAATTACATTACCTCGAATCAGATTAGGATACTTCTGAGCTTCATTTGCATCAAGGGTGAACCCGAGCCTGAGTAGGAGGATGATTAGGATTCTGTGGGCAATCATAAGCAAAATATCCTGGCTGACCACACTTGTAACATGCATTGCTTCCACGTCGACAGACTCCAACATGATTATTTCCACAAGTAGTACAAGTATTGGGACCCTGTCGTTCGGCAGATGATTGCCAGGAGCATTATTCCTCTTGAAGTTTCCAGTCCGAGCTTGCAACTGCGGACCCTTGCCTCTATTCATTCCGGTAATTTTTCTGAAGAACCGGCCCACTTTACTTCCTCCCTGAGATTGCATCAGCTGTTTAGACAGATTCCTTGCTTCATTGATAATTTCCTCCGCTTGCCGACTCTGATTAATCAATTCAGGCAGAGTACGATTAGCTGTAGTCAGCATGAGCTTCCGGATCTCTGGGTGCAGTCCACTTTCATATTTCTCCACTTGCCACTCTTCATCGTAGATGTTCCGATCAAAGTTGGCATATTCCATCAGCTGCTCAAACTTAGCAATATATTCATTGACAGTCATATTATTCTGTCGCAGTGCCAGCAACTCAGTGTGCTTCATTCTTCTCATGGCCTTTGGGAAATACTTGTCGAGGAAAACCCGTCGGAACATAGCCCAAGTCAGATCAACTTTTTGGGCTCGAAGCAGAGCCCTCGCACTGGTACACCAAGTCAAAACATCACCAATCAGCTGGTATGATGCATAGTCAGCCTTCTGAGGTTCCGGACATCCCATACGTTCAAATATATGCTCGATCATCTGCAGCCATCTTGCTACAGCCTCAGGATTATCCCCACCTTCAAATGTAGGTGGCTGGAAGTTTCGGAAGTCTTTCAACCTCCGTCTGAAAATTTCCTCAGCATTGTCCTGCATCTGGGGTTGTTCGGATTCTGATGCCGATATTCTCTCCACTCTTGACTCATGTTCTGGACAAAAGTGGCCAACCCCCCTACGGTAGTGAGAAGGTCATCAAGTGCATTACTAGATCTTCCCTGAGTAGAACCACGGGTACCTGCCATGTTTCTGAACTCACAATACCACGAAATGAGCTGATCAGACTCACTGCAAGCTATTCATGACAGCAATTCCATTTAGGTACTTGAGTTCAAATAAGATAAGTTAATAATGCACTTGTCCCTATCACGGCATATTTCTGACAGTCTAAATACAACAATTAATATATTTCTAACAATTAAACATTTTATCACATGCAAACAACAATTGTTTAACAGTCAATTACAATCAGCAACAATTCAGCAAGCAGCACACATTGCAACAAGCAAACAGACACCATGAACCAAAACTGCTCTGATACCATTTAGTGTGACACCCTCCCCTGTATGCATCCAGGAGAGTTGTCTGTTAAGCGGATTAGAGTCGTAATGTTACGAATAAATTCTACAATTTCGTTTTTAAGTCTCGTTAAAATTTTGTATTCAAATCTGGTCAAAAGAAATTAAAACAGTGTGAAAACTTAGTGAAATACATGGCTTGCTGAAATAATCGTTTTCCTAAAAAACCTGTCTTCGTGCAAAAATCATAATAAATCGTGCTTTCAGAATTTCATTGTAAAATTTATATAATCAGAAACTAGTCACGTGGGGCTTCGCGCGCATATAAATTATAAGTATTTCGGAGGGATGTAGCCCCACTAAATATAACTCGCAAAGTGCTCGCAAAATAGTTTATGAAACAACATTTAAAACGTTTAGAAATTGTTTTTCGCAAAACGCATTCAGAATCTTCCAACGTTCAAACTGACCATAAAACCTTAAAAATGGCAATTAAAATATGTTCTAACAGTAGTCCAAGTTCCCAAAATATTACATCAAAATATCATCAGCCAACATTCATGAATAACGCAAACAGCAGCCAAAATCCCAAACAGCAGCAGTAAACAGCAAATAAAACGTCATCATATGCTTTTTCGTGCTCCTGCAATTTTATAAAAATTGAGCCCCAAAAGGGGTGAGAAAAATCCCAGTAGTGTGATAGCAAAACCAATAATGCAACAGTATTAAACAAGGCATAGATTTCAAAAACAGTCGCATCAACATTTTAACTTATTCGATCAACTGCTTAACATATCATCATAGTGCGTATATAACGCCTTCATAAGGTACGTTCATAGCATCGTCGTGCACGTACTAACATACACAGTGGATATTCCATAATGGCTCCCTCAAAGGTGAATTCCAACTGTGGCCTATGCGGACGGAAGCCAAGTGTCCCATACCCTGTACTGGAGGGATGCCTATATGATGCGTGCTCAAACGTATGCTTACTTATATAAATATTCTTAGTCCGTGAGCAGCATGAAATTCGTGCATGTATGCCATGATATGCTTCACACACAAAAAAAAACAGATGAATTATGAAATGCATATGCATGACTAGTTCATCATTGTAATAGCATATATTTCATGTATTTTTAATACCAAGCTCCTGCATAACATTTACTTCTCATAGCAGAATTTCTATCATAATACGTTCAAAGGCGGAATACATGTAACATATGACAGCGTATGCATCCAAGACACATGTGAGCAACAATTCACAATTCTACACACTAGCTAATAGTCACATTAGGTAATACCACCTAACACTTACCTCGCGTGCCGCGAATAAATTACCAAACAGCAGCGAAATAGTCCACACTCACGAAATATGCGCACCTAACAAAGGTATACAAGTCAGAAACGTACGTCCAATTATTTCCTACACGCAGCTTATGTTTTTGACTCTCCTTTTTCCCTTAATTCCCAATCGATTTAAAGGATGCTTTTCCTAATAATTTTCTGACTTTACATGACTATCATTAACTCGTTATCAGTGAGCAGTCCATGGTTTCTCGACCCCAAACAAAATCGATTTTTAACAAAAAAAGGTATAAGGGATTTTATTCAATTTTTCAATCAAGCTACCTATGGTGTGCTAAGAGGGAATATACAACATGCTGTCCTTTTAATTTACCAAAGAATAACAGTGAAATTTCAACATACAGAATCGGTTTTCTATCATTTACTAATGCCCAAAAAAATTCATTCATTTACATGACATTTTCCATATGACAAAAGGGAATAATAAAGCTTCAATATGCTGTCAAAAAAAACTCAGCACATACCAATTTTACTAACACTAAGGTGCGCTAAAGAGGGCCTAAAACATGCTGTAAATCCATTTTAATTCAAGTAGAGCTTGAAGCACAAAAGAGGTCCAACCCAAAACAGTCCCACACTTTTATTTAAAGGCCATTTCCAAGTTCACATTCAAATTTCTTTTATGTTTTCAATCAAGGGTCCAAGAGGTTCAATAGGCAGAAATGAGGAAGAACTAAACAGCTTAAAAAAATCTATCTATCATTAGGCCCTTAAGTTGAACAGCAAGGAGCACAAGGATGGAGGTTACTTACTTTTTGAAGGCCACACCTAAGACCCCAACTCGAACAACAGCAAGCTTCCACTCTCCAACTCTTCTAGGGTTTGACTTTAAGGCTGCATGCAAGTGCGACGGAACTCAATCAGAACCAAAGTAGGTTGTGTTGTACAAGGGAAGGAGGAAAAATACCTCACCTTCTTGGATGGAACTTCGGCTGAACAAGGAAAAACAAAAGGGGAAGATGTTCAAGCAATGATTCCTCCCTTGGTTGTCTCATAGTCTAGGCGAAAAGTGGAGATGAAAAGATGTAATTTTTTTCTTTTCTCTTTGTGTTTCCTACAAACTCACGGCTAGGGAAGGATTAGGGGGAGAAGAGTTGATAAATTTCCAGCTTGGTTGTCTCACAAACTAGCGCCTAAAATAAAGAAGATGGAAGGGATGAGACATCTTGAGTACTGAGCAAAATGACACAAGTGCAGAATTCTTTTTGGTTCAATTGGGTGCATAGGTCACAAGGCTGTTTTAGCTTGGATACCATTACAAGGAATCAGATTTCTTTTACCCATTCCATGCGCATGACTAGGTCTAAGGGTGAGGGAGTTTGCCATGTTAGGATTCTAAGCCAATGGAATATCATGCAAATGGAATGCTCTCACCTCATTGGTTGCATGAGGAGGCAATGTGGCTGACTTGCAAGTCCACAAATGCAAGCAAGATCAGAATTTTAACACACCCTATGCACACATGTGGAGGGAAACAAGGATGGGTTTTTGCCAAGTGGTGATCCCTAACCAATCAAGGACTGCCTTGTGAGAGTCTTAAGGTAAGCCTAAGATAAATGCAAGATTTGGTTGAGTCCTAATCACTCCTTAAGGCCCTTAGGGCCGTCGGCCAACCCAAAGATTTGGGTCCAAAATATACAATTTCAATGGTCTACTACTTATGAACCAGTCCACTAATTTATAAGTTCCCATGTCTTTTAAGTATTATTAATCTTTCTATCTATTATAACCCAATTATTCATATACTTTTAATAGAAGTTTCACATGCCTAAATAAATACTCACCTATCATGGCAATTCAAATAATCCTCTAATTTAATCCAATTCCACTATAGGGAAAATAACTATATAATTCTAAGACACAACATGCACTATCTTATAGTTCGAATTTAACACATGCATCCATATTCCACATAGCAATCTATATGTATTTTTCTAATTACGCAGAATGTTACACACTTTAAGTGGAAACTTTGAATTTGAGGTATGTACCCTTTGCACGCCGTATATAAATGGTTTGTTCATTGTGTACATGAGATTATGTTGAAATTATTTGGTACACTTGATCATTACATTGATTGCACATTGATTTAAGCATATGTTGTTGTCTATCATGCTGAATTCTTGATATTGCTGAACTATTTTAATCATAAGTCAAGCTAAAAAATTCATTTTTAAATGAAACTAGTGGATATGAAAGATAAGATGTTCAATAATAGTTTTGAAAATTTTCATGATTTTTCATGAATCCCCCTGTTCCCAATGAATTTTTGAAGTTGGTTGTTCTGTTTGAAATTCTGGTTTGTATATGCTTACTTTAAGTTGTCATAACTTAAGCTGTACATATTTTTTGGATGAAACCAGTGACATTTGAAAGCTAACATGTTGAAGGTTGATTCTGTAAAGTTTCATAAATTTTGGATATATATGTTGTTCGTGACAGACCAATGAACCTGACTGTGTTGCTGAATTCTCTATTTCTGATGAGTAGACTTATGCTGATTATATCTTGAGCTATAGATCTTGGATTTCAATGATTTTTATCTTGTTTTAAAGCTTCAGATGTGTACTATATTATAACCAAAATTCATAATGTTTGGAGCTATAATACTTTCTCAATATTGAATGTTTGCTTATTATGTGCATGCAATTTGAATGATATGTAGCTTTGATTGAAATTTGTCTGTAATGTACATCCTTCTTGATAAGTTTACATCTCAAATATAGATTTGATTGAATTTGTATGTAACGTACATCTCTCATATAAGTTTAATTTAGAAGATGCTTCTACAATCTAACATTTGACTTTGAGAAGTTTTGCCAATCTCCATTATGTTCACAAATTGTGAATTTGTATTGCTTGGTTTAAATATAGGATTTGAGAGGTATGACTTTCCTAACCATATCTTTAGACTTAAAAAGACACTTTATGGCTTAAAACAAGATCCTAGAGCTTGGTATGAAAGATTGAGCAAGTTCTTGCTTGATAATAAATTTTATAGAGGTAAAGGAGATACAACTTTATTTGTTAAAAGAAAGCATGATCGTACTTTACTTGTTCAAATTTATGTTGATGATATTATCTTTGGATCTACTAATGAGTTTCTTTGTGAAGAGTTTGCTAGCATGATGAAAAGTGAGTTTGAGATGTCTATGATGGGAGAGTTAAACTACTTCCTTGGATTGCAAATAAAGCAAGAGTAAGAAGGTATAT